TGTTATTAGCTGAGCTGTTCTCACACCTTTCTCTTTGTGTCACAGTCACAGAACCTTCTCTGCTGCTACTGCTGGGGAATAGCATGACTTGTGACCTCACCAAGCACTGGGTGACGGTGACACCAAAATAAAGCAGAAATGCTCCTGCCCAGCTGCAGCCCACCGTGGGCCTCCAGACAAGACAGCACCTCAGGGCTTGTCCGAATCTTTTCATTTTCTCCACCTTCTCATTGCTCCTGAGGTAAAACTTGGGAGACTGGCTTGTATCTAAGTTTTCATTTAGAAGACAGAACACTTAACAGCCATATGCTTGTCTCACACGATAAGGTCTAAACTAAAATAAGAAACGAAAGTCTTTGTAAGAAGAGAAAACAAAGACTTTCAATGTTGCAAAAAACTAGGGTGAAGAAATAAAAATAAGCCTCAACAAAAGAGTCTATTTTTCAAACAAGATCTCACAGCAGGGTTAACAATTTTTTATGCCTTGAACCCTCTGGCAGTCTGATGAAGGCTTCCTCACAACAGGACCAATTATACTGAAATACAATGATCAAAATATTAAGAAATCCCTGAGCTACGGTGACATACGTGCTGCTGTATTAATGCATGAAATAACAGTGGCCAGCAGCAGGTTTAATTACCAATGTAATTTCTAAGCAGTAATGATATCTATAACAAATGTAACGTGTTAAGAAAAATCACATGATTTCTATCAGTGAGAAAGACACAGATGCTATTAATATTACAGTCATCTGTTGCTTACATTCATAATTGAAGAAAATGTTAAAGATTATTGAGGTTAGTGGAAATAAAAATATAAATTTATTCTTATTATAGTTTGCAGACCTCTCTCAATTTTTCTCTGCAGACCCCGACAAAGCGGCTGAGGTCCAGCTTCTCTGGAAGCAGCAGAAGCAAACGGCCTGGGGCAGCACTGCCTGGCCTCGCTCCCTCCTGACCTATTCTGCTCCCAACCCCCACTCCAGAGGCCCCTGTGAGAAACCAGCTCCAGGGCTTATCAGAAGACCTCTTGAAAGCCACTCATAAAGTTGACTCTTCAACCTGCCAGAAGTATCCCAGCAAGAGCGCACCCAGGCCTGTTTTCCCAACCTCCCTACCTCAACTGTCCACACTGTATGAAGTCCCTGGCTCAAGTCCTTCCTTCAAGGTATTTCCTTTTTATTATAGTTTTCTTTATTTGTTACAGCTCAATTTTTCTTTTCTTGTTTCTTAGCTTTCATATTTTGCTAATTTTACCTTGTTTTAACCTTTTTTACTATTTTACTCACTTTTCCTCTTGGTTTATTTTCCCTTTGGATGTGTAGAGTATTATCGGGGATTTTTTTTGGTCAACTTACAGTTTCTGATATTGCCTGAATCATCTTTAGTTCACATAATTCTTTGGTTCCCTTTTCTTGGTGCTTTAATTTATGACTTATGAACAGAAAACGGAAGTTGAACATAGGGTTGCTGGTTCCCAGAGAACAGTCCACAGCCCAAATGACGGCGTTTGGAAATGTGTTCTCCCTCTTGCTGTCTGAGTAGCACAGTTTTTAGCTGTCCTTACAAGATCCCTGGTGCCCTTTCATGTTGAAGTCCCTAACCACTTAAACCCAAGTTCTTCAGGGGATTCAAAGCTTCAGATTTTCTCCTGGGATGACAGGATGACGATAAGCTGGCAGGTGCCAGCACACCCTGAGCTGCAGGTCTCGGGACTGCTTATGTGTGCACCTGATGCAACAGCTGGAGCTCAAGGAGTTCCCCAGCGAGCAGTCCGGGTTTCCTTGGCTCCAGGGCGCTACATAATCGTTGGGAAGATCTGATCATTGGAAGAGACGATGCGGCAGCTATGCTCTTGCTGGGAGAGGCTGGGGTCTTCAGGATGTGGCAGGGAAAGAGCCGACCCAGGGCAATAGGGCTACTGTGGGCTTCACTCTTAAAGACGGGCCTGCCAGAGAAGGACGAACCCTAACACCAGGCCTCAAAGAGGCTGTCAGTGGTCTAGGACCAAGAAGTTGCTTCTTCGTTTCCTCAGCCCAGACATGTGGCTGAAATTGACTCTGAGATGTCTCACGTCATCCCGTGCGAGAATGTTAGGCATTACAACCACTGAAAACCTAACTGGCAGAAAGACCACAGAGTAGGAAGTCCCTGACATCTTGAGGAACAACATCCCTGATTTCAACTACTTTAGAGAAGCCCCAAGAGTCATAACTTGTAACTTTTAATGTTGCTGAGGCTTAAGCACTTTTCGTACTCTCTGAGACTAGAAAGCAGGAGTGAGGCCGGGCTCGGTGGCTCAGTCTGTAATCCCGCGCCTTTGGGAGGCCGAGGTGAGGGGATTACATGAGCCCGCGGGTTCAAGACCCGCCTGGGCAGCGAGACCTCATCTCTACAGTAAATCAAAAAATCAGCCGGGCATGGTAGCGCGCGCCTATAATTCCGGCTACTCGGAAGGCTGAAGCAGAAGGATCGTTGGAGCCCAGCGGGTCGAGGCTGTGGTGGCTGGGAGCGGCCACTGCACTCCAGTCTGGGCGACAGAGTGAGACTCCAACTCAAAAAAAGCACAAACAAACAAACGAAAGCAGGAGTGAGACACTTAGCTAGTGAGTGAACCTAGTCAACCTCCATTTTTAGATGCAGCTTTCTAGAGGTCTACCTAGTTTCACACATACATAACAATCTCATGAAGTCCTAAAAACATTTCTCTCTTTAAAAAAAAACTAATAAAAAGAAAGCTAATGAAAAGGAGGAGAAAGAATAGAACCAAAAAAGTGATAAATCGCAGCTGGAACACTAGTCTTGACTCCATACAGTGTGGGTGAAAGAATGAGATGTCAAACAGTGGTTCAGATTTATGAGGGATAGGAGTCCTCTCTATATGGAAACAGGACATAGTGATTTTATCAAATTTTTGTTACACTCCAGTCCACACAAAACCAACCATCACAAGAAGAATTAATCATGGAAGGCCTTGAAGGTAGGACTTCAATTTCTCAGTTATACTTTAATGCATGAAGATAGGGAGAATGTCCAACTTCTTCATCACTATAAGCCCAGAACCTTGGACAGGGCTGGGCATTAAGAGGTGCTGAGTAAACACATGTTGAATGCCAAATCACTGCAGTCAGTTATGTTACAAAAGTACTTGTAAACTTGAAATATATTTCTTCCAAGACTATAGCACTGCGAAATTTTAAGAAATAGTTTCTACTGAGAAATTGGAACTATTTTCTGCATTTTGCTATAAACAAAGTAAAACTGGCTAGATGCCAGCCTAAATACACCCTTTACCATGGACAAAAAATAACTACAAAAACACCCTACAGTCCCAAAGAGCCACTAAAGGAAGGCAGAGCTAGCTCTCATCAAAGGATCCATTTCTGTTTAGCTTAATGAAGTTTAAAGGTCATTTACAATTGTGATCACAGGATCTGGAATTTAAACTTAGGACACTGTTAAAGGCAGTCTTAGATTTAAAATAAATGTTTTTTTAAGGTGTGGAATCTAGCCTATTTGCGGTTTGTATTTAAATAGAAAATACCAAAAAGGTGGCAACATCTACCCAATGCAGAAATAAAAACAAAGACCGATTACTACTTAGCAAAACCAAAGAAAAGAAAATTGAATAAATGTTCACTAAAATAGAAAAAAAAGAGCAAAAGTCTAGTAAAAAGAATTATCTCTTTGACCTCTTGATCAAAACAAAGCAAGAACAAACGGGAAACTAATGCAATGCTTACTGGAAACACTCTAAATCTCAATCTGAGTCTACAGACCCTAAATCAGATTTTTAAAATAGGAATCACAATAAAAATTTAGCTGTAAGGTACCATTCTGACAGATATTTCATAGGTAAGAAATCAACTAACAGGATGAACCATAATTTATTTGGCCAGTTCATTTGATGTGCATTAGGGTATTTCAGTCTTTTGCTACTATAGATAATGCTAAATTAATCACACTTCTTTGTACAGATGGGTGAGTTTTGTGAGTAATTCACAACAAAATTGTTTGCAGCTATGGGAAAAAATAAAGTAAATGTGGTAATGTAGAAAATGTTTTAAAACAGTGTTAATTAAAAATAGCTGCCTAATAGTTTATGGTAGAGCTTATTTCCATTGTATAAAAAATGGAGCAAAGAGATACATATACAGGTTAAGTATCTCGAATCTGAAAAAACTACAAAATCTAAAACTTTGAGCACCGACATGAGGCTCAAAGGAAATGCTCATTGGAGCATTATGGATTTCTGGACTAGAAATGATCAAGTGGTAAGGATAATACAAATATTCAAAAGTCTGAAACATTCTGGTCCCAAGCATTTTGGATAAGGGATACTCAACCTGTTTACATGTGTGTGCATAAATTTTCACTGATCAGATTAACCACCCCCCCGCCCCAGAAAAAGAAAAGAAAAGAAAGTACTCAACTGTTGGCTAAGCTGTAAAAACAGGTCCCTCTCATACACTGCTAGTAAAAATATAAACGGGCAAAAACCTCAAAAGTAATTTGTCAATAGCTATTACTCATGAGAATTATGTGCAAACGCCATATGCACAAGGTTATCGATTATAGTATTGCATATGATCTAAAATAAGAGAACAGCCTGAAGGTTCATCAGCAGGGAACTGGTATAAATAATATATTCATAGGATGCAATGAGATGCAGTCATTTAATCAAAAAACCAGCCGGTCGTGGTAGCGCGCGCCTGTAATTCCGGCTACTCGGAAGCCTGAGGCGGAAGGATCGCCGGAGCCCAGCGGGCGAGGCTGTGGTGGTCGGGAGCGGCCGCTGCACTCCAGTCTGGGCGACAGAGTGAGACTCCGACTCAAAAAAAAAAAAAAAATGAGGAAGCTCTCTATATACTTATGGAAAGATCTCCAAAATACAAACTTAGCAAGCTGTCAAACATTACATATAATACTATGCACCATATTTTGTGTTTAATAGGATGTACAATTACAGAGTACATAGCCAAATCAAATGGAAAACTTACTTGTAAAGGTAATACTCTGCATGGTCTATCTCTTCTCGAGATGAAATGTTGTCCACAAACTAAAAGACAGAAAAAGAAACCTTGGTTGAATACAAATTATGTCATATATTTAGCCAAGGGCCTAGTTCTTTAAAAAGAACACATTGATCTTTAAAAAGATGGCAAAAACCCTATGTTATTGGAATGATGTTCATACTTAGTGGAACAATCCTCATGTGGTATGGCACTACCCCTGAATCAGAGCTGGTACAAACAAATAATATATATCAGTTTCTCTTTTTCTATGTGTAGAATAACCTTGATCAGAATTAAAAGCCAAATACGAACTTTGCTCAGAATAAGAGGAGAGCACTTCACTGACTGTATTTTTAACTAGTTATCTGTTTTTCCCTTTCTCTTTAAATTCTGATATTTTCTCTATGTTCTAAACACCAAATACATTGGAGTTTGGAACACATAGCCAAAAGGCTGAAGATTCTGATGGCAAAAACTATTGCCCAGAATGTAAAAATCTAAATTTAGAGAACTCAGTTTTGTAACCCTTTTTTCTACTGTGATTTAAGTTCTGCTGTGGACCAGTAAACCTGTAATTCTCCAACCAACAAAGTCTCTCTTCAAACCATAAAATCTCTGAGTATGGTCCTTAACTATAGTCCAAATAAACAAGCAGAAAGGATTTACTCCAAGGATAGATTTTACCCAAAGTAAAGACTCAGAGAGAAAAAAATATGAGATAATACATATTGTGAATGTGACAACCTCATGAAGAAGGAGAGGAGAAAAAAAGGGGAAGGACTCTAAGGATGTCTAGCACGTCTGGATTTGATTTAGAAATCCATTAAGGAACAGATAAGACATGTTTCAAACATGGGACCTGAGCTTGAGAACCAGCTCTGATCGCATGCTGCATGGCATGAACAGACGGCTTAGCTCCTCTGGGACTTAGTTGCTCCATCTGTGAAAGTAGGATAAAGGCGCCTGTCCTGAAAAATAGGAGGCTCCAGTGAGAAAATGTATGTGAGAGCTCTTTGAACCTTGACGTACTACCTCAACAAACAGTAAGTATTATGGCATACAGAGATTTTACTCATCATGTAAGAGAAAAACTAATGGTCTTTCAATTCTCCTCCAGTATACCAATTTTGAGTGTGTCAAATTTAAGTTATGACCAGTTAAATTGTTTCCAGACTAAAAGAAGAATATCAAGAAAGAAAGGAACAGGTCTAAAAAGAAAGATAATTCCTTTCCCTCTCCTAGGTCAAATAGTATCTTAAATTTTATGGTGTCACTAATTTCTACAAAAAGCTTTCACAGCTAAAATCTCACTTTAGCATCACACTATCCCTGCAAGGAAGAAACAATTACACCCACATTGGAAATGAGGAGGTTGAGAGGAGCCTCGGTGCCCAATATCATAAAGTAAGTTCATGATAAAGACAAGATCAGATATATTTGAGGCAAGTAACAGTAGAGAACAATGTTAGATATCTGGGTTTGAATCCCAACTTTTCTACTTATAAGCTGTATAAACTCGGGAAAATTATTAAACCACCCTATGTCATATATAGAATGCTTACCTCATAGGCTGCTGTGGAAATTAACAAAAATAATGTATATTAAGAAACGAATCTGTACAATAACTGGTAGAGAAGGTGCTAAGTGATGGTTACTATCAACTACTTCTGATTCCTTAGCCTAACAGTATTCTTCCACTCATGGCTTTGCAGTAGTTTAACATTAATATCCATTCTTTTATATACTTCTCAGTTGCCAAAGATACTTCCAATACTAACAAGTAAATATTATTACTTTGCAGGATGTATCGACTTAAAAAAAATAATGGTATCATATATAAGAATATCATATCCTAGAAAAATTAAATTAATCATAGACACAAAGGTGTATTACTAATATCAAAGTCTGGTAAATGCATTACCTTTTATTTCAGTCAAAGGTTTGCTACTACACTGTAAAATATCTATCGGTAACTATAAAAACATACCACACTCTGGAAAAACATTTCCTATGAAAGATATTCTTTATTCACACAGCCTCATTACATCTTCCTTCTTCTAAAAAATATGTTTAAATTTTCTTACCCGTGATATTGTTAAAGAACTAACAGGTAATTTTCTTTCATATGTTTTATCCATTAAAGATGCGAGATCAGCTGTGAAGACAAAGAAGAAAAAACAACTTTGTTCAATATACATATTTCTTAAGAAAAATCTAACAGATACATCTCCTGCCAGATGGCTGCCAACACTGTGAAGTGAGTATTAAAACAGACACTCAGTAAGAAAGCTTAGTAATTATTTTATATTAATTAAAGAGGACAAAGGAGTACCAGTAACATTTTAAAAAATGGAGTAAGTTTATAAAAATTCTCCACATATATTTGGTTGTTATAAAATGGATAATAAAATATCCCCGGAAGGAGACACAAGAAAGTGTTCTGACAGACTCCAGGAAAAGAAAGTAGACAATGGGAGGTCAAGGGAAGAAGATTCTTCGTTGCTTACATATTTATTCCTTTTGCATTTTGAAATATATTAGGGAAATATATTAGTTATTCAAAAAATTAAAAATTAAAATTTCCCAAGCGACTCTTTTTCCTTCCTGGCTGCAAGTTTATTCCACACAAAATAATCCCCTCCAATTTCACTGAGGTGGCTGACCACACCCACGGCCAAATCCACCTCTAAACTAGGATCCAGTTGCTGCCCCTGCCCAGCCTCGGCTTTCGTGTCAGCACCAGGGGGCACAGCACTCCGTCTGTCGGTGTCTCTGTCAGTTTCCCCTCTTGTGAGCCTTGTAGGCCACTCACCCTCCAGATCATGGGCCGAGGTCTGCCAGTCTCTGGATGGCTGCAGCGCAAGCTGGCTGGCACAATCAGGGGCAAGTGGAGGTAATCATGTAGATACTGGATACCCTCGTTGGTAAGGTACAGTGGAAATGTCTCCAGGCAAACTGTTCCTTCACGTAGCCTGGAGACCTGAGAGACTGCAGGGCCTTCATGACGAGAAGGTTAGGCACATTCTTGTCGGCCAGCTCTGGGTGCTGAGGCATATGGACGTCCTTCTCGGCCACCATCACTCCGTCTTTAAAAAGGAGTTCATAGATGGCAATCCGGTTCTTCTTGGGCATCAACATCAGGACAGCTACAGGGGCTGAGGCCGGGGCTCCCAAGTGACTTTTATACCTTCCCTGAATGAATCAGAGAAGCATCCTGGCCAACCTTAATGACTTTTGACCTGGACTATTCCTATTTTGGCTCCTTTAAGCAAAACATCTATGGGAATACTTGGTATTACTGAGATTACACTTTCACCTCAGAGTCTAAAAGATCTGAAATCCTAGATAGCATACTCTCCAAAATGTTTATTTCACATCTTGTCACTGCTCAGATTTAAAATATCTTCTTTCCCTTTCACCCCTTACTCTCACTCTCGGCTCACGATTTTGTAAAAGCAATCAAAAGAGAACTTCATCCTCCTAGCATCAAACCAATCAGGTCTTTAGCATCTGTGCCCATACACTGCCTTCTATTCTGTTACAAAGGATGAATGGTATTTAAAAAGCTCTCCGTTGTCCTCAGATCTCCTATAGCCACTTCTCTCAACAGCAAGACGACTCCCAAGTGTAGTACTCTGAAACAACCGTTACTAATTCCTGATATCCCACTCTTCGACTCATTCCACTAACACCAATAACCACCTCCACGTTGTTAAATCCAACGGTAAATTCTCTGTTCTCCTCTACCTGACTTTTCACTAGCACTTAATACAGTTGACCATTCCATCTTTCATGAAAGAGCCTTTCTTCCTCTCTTTCTTGAGTTCCTTTGCAGGATCCTCCTCTTCTTGACTTCTACATGTTGGAGTGCCCCAAGTCTCTGTAGTGGGGTAGATGCCCCTTCACCATCTATGTTGGTGATCTCATTCTGACAGTTTTAACCATTGCCTACAGATTACTGACTCCACACGTAAGTGCCTACCCTGACTTCTGCCTTTAACCTCAGACTTGGATTTCCCATTGCATAGGTGACACTTCATTTGGGTGTCTAACAGGTTATCTACACACTACATGCTCTCTCATGTCCTTAATCTTCCACTCTATACCCATTTTCTCCATCTCAGTAAATGCCCACTATATTGGCTGGCTTACTCAGGCCAAAAACATAGGCCTCACTCGTGACCCCATTCTTTTCACACTCTATAACCAATGTTTAAGCAAATCTTATAGGCTCTAGGTTTGAAATACAAGCTAGATCTTTATCATCACCACAGCTGCTAAGTCACCAATATCTCTCACTTCCTGACCTTGCATTAACCATCAGCCTTACAATCTAACCCTCCACCCATCGGTCTGAGGAGGCCTTTTAAAAGATAAATCAAATCCTGTCATTCTCTTTTCCCAACTAGCCAAAAACTTCCTATTATACTTAGGATAAAATCCAAAATATTTTCTAGGACCTACAAATGCCTGTGTGCGCTGGTCTGTGCTTTTTGTTTTTTTCTGTCTCTTATACTAAAAATAAAATCCATGAATACAAGGACTGAATTCACTGATATACATACTCAGTCCCTAGAACAATTCTATAAAAGGCACTCAGTAAATATGGAAATGAGTCAAAGAAGAAGAAGAAAAAGAGGAGTCACTGATTTCCAAGGTTTTTCTTACTCCCTGGTGAAAGAAATTAGTAACAAGTAAAGAAGAGACTCAGAAATCATCAGTTAACAAGTAGTATTTGTTGAAAACCTTTTGTTGTGTATTAAACCATTTTTTTCCAACTCTTCAGGCTGTGGGGAAATGATCTCAATGGCTCAGTAGCTACTGGGGGAAAACAACTTTGCAAAACCCCTTAAAACCTGATATGAAGTCCAAGTAATTTGCTTTTCTTATGACTAACTTAAAGGGATTGAAGGTAAGTGATTAAAGAATACCAAAAAGTCCTTACAACCCCTTCAGACTAAGGCGAATGAGTAACATTTACTCTCCTTGCTCATAGAATAGATGTTAAACAGCTCTCTCGTGATGCCGCATCTGTACGATCACTTCATACGGAGGCTCGTGTGTAGAGGCGACAGGCAATATTAGGATGTATCGACTCATCTCCCCCTACTTAAAATGTATAATTCAGCTTTGAAAAGCAGAATCAGGATCTACTGGCCCAATTAAAATGGCCCACAGCCCTCATCACTTCCTTGGGTTTCACATAGGGCAATGGATACCCCCAACGCCGAACTGAGTTGGCTTCTCTGATCACCTACCGTGTGGTAACTCAAGATGCCACTTGAATCCTTCACACCAAGGCATCTTCAGTCAAGTGAAATGGGCTGGGGCTGCCAAAAAAGGCAACAGCTGCAGAGCCAGCATCTGATGAATCACATTTGCATATTGCAAGTCAGAGAAAGGTCTGCTGCTCAATATACTCTGCAACAGATCACCTCACATCAGAGTGCTGTGGTGATGGATGAGGCTGAAAACTGCCCGGAGCAAGGATGGCCAGGGGAGCGGGGACAGCTGCGGCCTGCAGAGGGCCAGCGCCACAGGCTTCTGGACTGTGGGCTTCCACAGCCACAACCACACCTCATGCGACAGCAAGGGGCCAGCAGATGCCCAGGTTTTGTTCAAAGGGATGCATGTGCCAAAGAAGACGCTTGTTTGCTTGTCGCTCAGCCCCGCAACAAAGTCTGTGGGAAAAATGGATCCGAAACTTGAATCCTTCATTTAACAAAACTTAAAGCAGAACAGACAATGTGGAGGTATGTCCAGAGAAATAAAACATATACTAGTATTGAAATGCCCTTCTACTTTGAAGAAAGCAATACTAAAGATCAAAGAAGATAAAAGATTTTACTGAGAACCCTGTACTATTCTCAGTATGGGAGTATAATAGTTCACAAGCCTGGCTGAGGATGTGAATGAGGCTATAGAACTCAGATTCCTAGGCCTCACATCCACAGGGCATTCTAATTCTCTAGGTCTGAGGGAGGGCCAGAGTCTTTTAAAGGACAGCCTCAGGAGTTTTAAGTGCAGTCAATCGAGTATGTACTAGAAGTCAGTTATATGTTAGAACTACCATGGAGGGAACACAAAATACATCTTGGATGTCACTCCTAAACTCAAAGAAAATATTGAATAGGGATTCTATTGCTAAAGTAAGATGAATTAAATATATTTTTAAAAATTCCTACTATAAAAATAAAACAAATAAAATATCGTTTCCCTCAAATATATAACAGAGCTTTCAAGAAGGTAGATGTAATTATCAGAGCCAAAGGCAAGATGGAAGCAAAAACTTGGAGTGCTTAAGGGAATAAAGAAGGTAGCAGCCCCCTTGAGAGCATTTTTGGATCTCCAGTGATAAATAGATTTGGTTGAATGACTTTTCTGTGATAGAAGACAAAGCCAAGATTTTTGTAAGATAAGAAGCTGGTTTACAGATCTTCAGGCAAAGCCAAGACCACCTAAGGCCACACCTGTAGTACAAAGGTAAACCAGAAAATAATATACCCTACAAAGTAAACAAGCAAGAATATTGTTCCCTGAAGATTCTAAACTATGTGATCCAAAATATACCAAGATGAGAATTTTGTTTAAAGAGTTGGTTTTGCTACATAAAAATGCAAACTAATCTATAGGGCAAAAAGCTATCAGTGGTTGCCTGGGAATCTGGGATGTGAAGCAGAAAGGGGAAAGATAAAAAGATTACAAAGGAATAGAAGAAAACTTTGGAGGGTGATAGATAAGCTCATTTCTTGATTGAGCTTACCTATCATTGTGGTGATGATTTCGTGGACTCATATGAGGAAGACCCAAAAAAAGCCAGAATTTATTTATTAAAATTTATGTCTTTATTCTTACATGTTTAAACTTCAGTCACCTTCAAAGTATTCTACATCTGATGCAATACACCTGTTGACACACCTTTTCCACTGCTCAAAACAGGTTTTAAACTCGTCCATTTTGATGCCTTTTCGTGCTCGTCATTTTTTGTTTTACAAGATATTTCCTCTTGAGGAGTTGTTTCATCCAGGGAAACAAACAGACAAAAAGGCACCTGGAGCAAAATCGAGTAAGTAGGGAGGGTGGGACACAGGGGCCATGCCATTTTGGGCCAAAATCTGCTGAACACTCAGCACCACGTGGGCAGGCTGTGTGTGT